GTTGGAGGCTCCGCTGGTGGTTGGGTTTGCTACAAGCAACCTCTATTGAGACCTCGGTTCACTTGAGGTGGACCTCGGTCATTCCGATCACAAAGACCGTAAGTAAAATGGAAACATTATAGTGTTGCTCACCCCAACACTGGCACCCGAAGACCGCGGTTTCGTCCTGGTTAGGACTCATCAGTTCGAGATAGCCTGAGTTGGGCCGGAACTCAGAGTCTAGTGGCTCAGGGTTGACACCATAAGCACTATGCCACTGAGATCCACGAGCAACGCTTGGTCCAGCGAGAACGAATGCAAAGTTGGACTTGGAGGCTCCGCTGGTGGTTGGGTTGCTACAAGCAACCTCTATTGAACCGAGGTCTCAATAGAGGTTGCTTGTAGCAACCCAACCACCAGCGGAGCCTCCAAGTCCAACTTTGCATTCGTTCTCGCTGGACCAAGCGTTGCTCGTGGATCTCAGTGGCATAGTGCTTATGGTGTCAACCATGAGCCACTAGACTCTGAGTTCCGGCCCAACTCAGGCTATCTCGAACTGATGAGTCCCAACCAGGACGAAACCGCGGTCTTCGGGTGCCAGTGTTGGGGTGAGCAACACTATAATGTTTCCATTTTACTTACGGTCTTTGTGATCGGAATGACCGAGGTCCACCTCAAGTGAACCGAGGTCTCAATAGAGGTTGCTTGTAGCAACCCAACCACCAGCGGAGCCTCCAAGTCCAACTTTGCATTCGTTCTCGCTGGACCAAGCGTTGCTCGTGGATCTCAGTGGCATAGTGCTTATGGTGTCAACCCTGAGCCACTAGACTCTGAGTTCCGGCCCAACTCAGGCTATCTCGAACTGATGAGTCCCAACCAGGACGAAACCGCGGTCTTCGGGTGCCAGTGTTGGGGTGAGCAACACTATAATGTTTCCATTTTACTTACGGTCTTTGTGATCGGAATGACCGAGGTCCACCTCAAGTGAACCGAGGTCTCAATAGAGGTTGCTTGTAGCAACCCAACCACCAGCGGAGCCTCCAAGTCCAACTTTGCATTCGTTCTCGCTGGACCAAGCGTTGCTCGTGGATCTCAGTGGCATAGTGCTTATGGTGTCAACCATGAGCCACTAGACTCTGAGTTCCGGCCCAACTCAGGCTATCTCGAACTGATGAGTCCCAACCAGGACGAAACCGCGGTCTTCGGGTGCCAGTGTTGGGGTGAGCAACACTATAATGTTTCCATTTTACTTACGGTCTTTGTGATCGGCCGGCCGAGGTCCACCTCAAGTGAACCGAGGTCTCAATAGAGGTTGCTTGTAGCAACCCAACCACCAGCGGAGCCTCCAAGTCCAACTTTGCATTCGTTCTCGCTGGACCAAGCGTTGC